CGTCTCAACTGGAGTTTGAGATTTGGGAGGAGGAGCATTGCTAGCTGGAGTTGGAGTATGAGGAGAGGCTTCCTCCTGAACAAAATTAGATGCCTCCATATCAGGTTGAGAGTTGCTGGAGGGTTGAACTTGCACATGAACAATTTGCTTTCCTTTATCAATCAGACTTAAAGAAGTTCTGGTAGGGGAGGTGGGATCTGGGGATTTGCTTGATGAAGGATAAGTTCTTGAATTTGAAAGACCCACATCAATCCAGTTTTGGCCTTCTACAGCCTTGAGCCAATCCCCGTACTGTCCTTCACTGACTGATTTGGTTTTGATAGCTTCAATTCTCTTTTTACAGTTTCTGTCCAGATGCCCAAATAGCCCGCAGTAATAACACAAGTTGTGCAGCTTTTCATATCTGAATCCCACACTTATAATTTGATCTTCCAATTGGATGTTAGTGCACCTTGGGAGAGGTTCATTAATGTCTAAGGATACCAACAACCTTAAGATTCTTCCACCATGATTGCCTGAACTTGCAATAACCACATTCTGGACAGAATTGAAAATCGACCCTATTTTAAGCCCGACTTCTGTGCTCAAGCAGTTGATAGGAAGATTCCATACCTGGACCCACATTCTAATGTCTTGGAAAGTCGGGTGTTTGCTTGTGAGCCCTTTTTCCCACTCTCTGAGGATTAGGTGTTGGTTCTCAAAACTCCAGCTAATGCCATCACCAACCCTTCTCATATCGTCCTTTCTTTGAAAAACAAACTGGAAGAAATTGTGACCTAATTCTTTAACTTCCATTTGCTGTTGCAGTCTCCATATGTGGCTCATGGCTCTTTTGATTCCCAGCCAGCTTGCCTTTCGGTCCCCTATGATTTTCCCAAAGAGGCTTTTACCACATTCGTCTGCGCACAGCTTTATATCCTCATGCTCAATTCCTGTTATCAGGCTTTCTTTGTCTGAAAGCGAGAAACTCTTGATTCTGTCCGCTAGGTCGTCATCGTGCCCAATACAGCTTGGTTCCGACATTTTTAGGGTTTACAATCAGTAGGAAATCAAGGGAAAACAGAGAAGACAGGGATGCAAAAATCAAAACAAATCACTGAATAGAACAATCGCAAACGGAAAACTAAATCGCTCCCAAGTGAGAGAATCGGAAAATCGCTCCCAAGTGAGAGAATCAAAAGACAATTGTTCAAAACCAAAATACTAGCATCAAATACTAAAGTAACTACTC